CCTCATGGCTAAGGCTCTCCTTGGTCCTCTCTGTGAACCCAGTGAAACCCCTTTCCCCGCCGACTGCTGCCTTCAGCCCCCACCTCCAGCCAGCACAGGCACATCACACACCAGTGCAACCACCACCAGCCACTGCTCCTCACCCTTTGCCGTTTTAAGCTCAAGCTAACACAGTATAGCCATGCAATTCCGAGGTGTACTCTCCTGCTCCCCTCTCGTTAGCTGCTGCGATTTGCTATGGCCTGATCCTGAAAGTCAAAGACCAGACAGACCTCATCCCTCCCTGTTGTCTCCCTGCACCCAGCCTACAAACTGCTGACTGGGTCCAAATGAAACTTGGCTTGAGCCTGCCCTTTTACTGATGCAACACTTTACAGCACTGAAATAGAAGGGTAAATGAGAGCAGAATAAAGGTATGAACCTACACTGAGGTGCCTGGAAAGCCATAAGCTCTTTGTAATTTTGGCAGGAGACTGACTTTATAAATACATCAGCACGTGCTCATGTCTACAGGTTTGAGCATAGCCTATATCCCTTGGATAAAACCCATGCACACCTTCCCAGCCACAAAGGACGGTCCCCGAGAGCAGCTATTTCAGCCTTTTTTTTGTCTTTTAGCAATAAGAATACCCTTGGATGAAAGTCACCATCGCTCTGCGGCAGGGTCACTGACCCAGCCTTGCTAAAACCACAGCAAAGTTTTCTTTAAAGACAAGCGCTTCTTTCCCCAGAGCAACTCCCTGCCTCAGACACCAGTGCCTGTCAACTCATTTCTCTGTTGTCATCCGAAAGAAGGAATAACAAGTGAAAACCACAAACCAGGGTGGCCTGGGAAAATTTTGACAGTCTGACAAAGGAAAGCAGAGGAAGTTTCTCCTTGTTTATACATTTTCAGATCTTTGAATAAAGATTTCCCTGAAAAAACATCGTGACTTCCTCTAACCAGATGAAGAAAAGAAGATGTCAGCTTGTATCTCATCAGATTTTCTGGTGTAAAAGCCAAACCAGGTATTTAGATGGATGATGCCATTCAGTGACAGTAATGTCCCTGTTGTGAAGCATAACCTGCATTTAAACACACAGACTAAACTAAACCCACCAAAAGAACAGAGCGTACAGAAACTACGAGCCACCCACTCAACCTTGCAGATGCAAAACAACTGAACCCATAAGGAGGAAAACAAATGGGGAAGGCAGGCGGAGTGCGACGCCTGGCTCAGGCAGCGAGCAGCAAAGCGGCGGCTCTATCGTGGAGGTGGGCAAAGGGCTGCACAAACATATCCCCGGGCGTGTGGTCCCCCATGCCACCCCAGAAGCCCCTCTGGGGGCTGCCAGGGGTCCCAGCTGCCTCCTGCCTCTACCATGGTTCTCTACTCTAGCACCAGAGCACATTTCTCAACATGAAGCACAATTGCAGAGCTGCAGTGGCCCCAGACTCCCTCAAGTCCAGTGAGTACACGCTTGGCCCCTGTTAATTTTGGCACTTTGGGAAGGGCAGCAAGACTGATCTGGGAAATGGAAGGGAAGGCTTGGATGGGAATAGGAGAGATGATCTCAATAAAGTATACAACAACAGGATTACATGCAGTCGACACAGGACAAAGCAAGGGAATTTGCCTTAGATATTGAGCAAAGAAACAAGTTCTGATGAGGGTGGTCAAGCAGTGCAGCAGGTGCCTGGAGAGGCTGTGAAATCTCCATTCATGGAGATATTCAGGACCTGACCAGATATGGGCCCGAGCAACCCAATGTGGCTTTGAAGTTGGTCCTGCTTTCCGCAAATGGAAGGACCAGGTGACCTTCAGAGATCTCTTCCAACCTAAATTAGATTCTACAGTGGTGTTTGATCACAAGCTACCATCAAGCATTGGAATCCAACAGGAGCTTGAGAATGGCTATTTACAGTATTTAGGAAGGGAACAGTGATCAGGGTGAAGAAATCAAGAGTAAGATTTGGAAATATTCCATTATTAAAATCAACAGGGTCAATCAGGTTTTATTGAAATCACAGGCCAGTCGCATGCCTGACATTCCTAATATTTCTGGATACATCCAGGACAGGAAAGGCAGACTGGGGAGAAACGGAGCAGCACCTTCCTCCGCCTTCAGGAGAGGCCTTTCCCTCCTACCAGCGGGCCGCCTCTGCGGCAGCACGGCAGGAAGGTTCTGGCAGGCAGGGGTGACCTCTCCTGGAGAGTGCCAGCCCGGTTGTCCTGCTCCAGGGAGGGCAGGAGCCCGGCCACAGGCTCCCCCTGCCTCTCTCTGGCCAGAGCACAAGAGAGAGGCCCCCAGCAAATCTCTGCAGGCACCCCCATGCCAGCCACATCCCCCGAGAAACCCACCTCACAGCAGACACCCTCCGTGGCCTTGTCAGCCTGCAGAGAAAGAAGTGTTTTGCCAGTGTGCTTGTTTTGTATTTGGCATGAGCAGGATTACCTGATAATGAAGTGCTCTCTATTTCAGCCATAAATACGAAGTTCTTTAAGCAGATGTTGGTATAAAAGATACTTAAAACTGCGGGGCTTATTCCAGTTAACCTGTCATCGGCACAGGGTGAAATGCGGAAAGGTGACTGTAGAGAACAGTGACAATTATTAAAACCAGTAACCTAATTGGTGACATAATTATGTGTATGTGACTACAGAAAAATTGGGGTGGAAGGGACCTCTGAAAGTTATCTCATCCAAGCTCCTGCCCAACAGATGTGCTTGGGTGGTGGGGTTGCTCAGGGACTTGTCCGGTTCAGTTTTTACCATCTCCAGAGACCAAGATTCCCCTTTCTCTCTGGCAAATGTGCGTATCTTTCTATGGGAACAGGCCTTATTAAAACCTACTTGGTCCCATATTTGGTGAGATCACTAGCTTACTTAATGGAGATAACTGTATCAGTATGTTTACATCAGAAGGCGTGTTGCGGCCCCACTTGGCAATCTGTGAAATTAGTATTGCCGATAGGAAGTGGGTAGCATTAAGAATGATACAAAAATGGTGGGCTTGGAAAGACCAGGAGCATGCTCAGCTGTACAGGCCCAGCCAGAAGACTGCCCAGCATAACAAATTCATTTGTGCAATATGGTGGTTAATGCATCCAAACTGGGATCGTTCACATGGTGGCAAAGGATGGTGATGGTTACATGTGTACAGTGGAGGACTGTCTCTTGCAAAGTAGCATCTCTCTAAAGGATGATTACAAATCCGACTCTACCCAAGAGTCATGGTACACAGTCAGTTAAATACGATCCCTTAACATGATACTGTTGTTAGGACAAATGTGATTCTTGGACATACAAGCAGGAGAGTATCATGGAATCACAGAACAGTGGCATTAACCCAGTATACAGTGCTGTTGAAACAGCAGCAGAAACTACTACACTACATCGAAAGAGAAATGTGTGGCTGAATATCAGTGTTCACAGTTTAAAAACAAGGCAGAAATTGTCAAGAGTTCATGAAAGAGCTTCAAGAAAGATTCAGCATCTGGAAAACACTTCTAGCAAGAAACTTAAGAAGGTCAATGCAAGTTTATCCAACAGAAGGTCAAAAGATGGCTTGAGCACTGTCTATAATTACCAGCACAAGAAGAAATGATTACTATTAGGGCTCTTTAATCAGGCAGAGCAAAAAAAAAAAAACAAACAGGAATATAATTTGATGCAGTGGTTGGAAACAGAAGCCAAGCCAATTCAGATGAACTATAGGGAGCAGTGATTAACAAAAGCCATTAACCATTAGAACAATGTACCTAGGGGTGGGGTAGAGCTTCTGCAATTTGAGATCTCGAACTGAAGACTAAACAGCCTTTTTTCAAAGATACAATGTATCTCAAGAAATGTTGAGGCAGGAATTATTGGGCAAGATTCACTGTCAGAACAGATAATCATAAAGTTCCCTCTGGTCTTAAAAACACGAAAAGTGCCCAGGAAGAACAGCGAAGACCTCTGAAAGTGCTGAAAGACATCAGAGCAAGTTGTGCTGCGTTACAGGAGAGATTTAAATTACTATTAGGAGTTACAAAAGAAAGTGAAATCTTATTTTTAAAAGACACAATTTCTTTAGTAAAGATGAAAAATCCAGTGAGAAAATCCTTCATGTAGC